CTCCTGGCGCTGCTTCCGGCCCTGGCAGCCGCCGCGACAGCGGCCCTCCTATTCCGCCCTTCCACCACGCTGAACTCACCACCGCCAATGTAGCCCCCCCTCCCGGCCATTCAGGGCCCGGCGATGCACTTGGTTATCGCGGCAAGCGAAGCATGAGCCTCGGCTCCCGCTCTTCGCGCTCTAGGCCCATCAGCCTGAACAACACCGAGATTAAAGGGATTGAGGGACCCAATGGCGTTGGCTTTGATCTACCCAAGCACCACGAAAACCTCTCGGGCATGTCCAACAGGGACATCGCTCTCAAGATTGGCTTGCTTCACCTCAAGAAGGGCAATATCCACGAAGATATGCATCAAGCCGCTACCAATCGAGACATCCTATCTCGCGAACCCCATGAGCAGTTTAAGTTTCGCGATGAGAACGCCCGGCGGCTGAGCGAGGTCGAGGAAGCCATCCGCGCCTGGGGAGAGGTCCAGGCTACTCGGGCAGAAAATATTGCTAACCCCGGCCTCGTCGACATGCTGATGATTAGTCAGGATTACTATGAGAAGGAAGAGCCCAAAGATCAGCAATCTGCTCCTGACAACAGTTGCTCTTCGTCGTCTGGTCTCGGCCTTGAAGGCAAAAGGAAGAAGAAGAAGAAGGGTGGGCGTAGCACTGATTCATAACTGATTAGATTCGATCAACGCGTTGTGCTCGTCGGAAACTTCCGGGTATTTCTGGTACGTTTAGTAAAAGGTTACTTCCTGGGCTTTGTCTTTCTTTTTTTTCTCTTGGATATATCTTATTAACTTTGGATATGGCTAGGTTGGTTAATCGATAGTTCGTCTCCGTCACCATTCAGTGCTACTACGAGCTTCATCACTCGACTTTTCGAGCATCGTCATTTTGAATGTATATGCACGAGTCAATCGATTGTACCTGCTGTGCCAGGCAAAGACGGTTCTTAAAATGATGACTGGCTGTGCTTTCAAAGAGGAAAAGAATCGATATATTTACAGTATGGTTTCATTGCCTGTTTTGGACGTGATCCAGCCTCTGTCCGCATGCACATCGCGCCACCGTCTCAACTTCTATAACCCAACTAAAGATGATAATTCTCGAGATCGGGTGGCCTAGGGTAAGAAGTATTAGCACAATTTCACCACTACAATGGTACCTTATATAAAGCCTCACTTCATTCACCCACTACATACCTATTTCTTCCATAAACTTTCGACCTCTCTCAAACCCCGCCCCGCGGCTTGCCAAAGCACTTCGCCATTCACCATCCACCAATCCAAGCCGAGTCGATGAAGCCTTTATTCTTCGGCTCGACCTTCATACTCTCCCCCCTCGCCTTCCTGTTGGTTACTGCGCGTCGCCGATCCGCGGGAAAGGTTGAGCTACGCTTGGTACTCCAGTCTGCCTGCGTGATATTATTTCGATGGCGCTGCTCGGCTGTTGCCGGGGGGGCCCGTTACCCAACCTGATCCGGCGAACAAGTAGTGTATATTGCTACGTATCTCTCCTATATGCAATCTTTCTGAAAACAAGAGTAATAACAAAGGGTCATAGGCCGATTGAGAACTCCTGACGTTACTCTTGGTTCGCTAGTGTTAGTTCTAAGATTTTCACAGTATTTAATTAATATCAAATAAGCCAGAACCCACCTGCTATGTGACTGTCTCTAAGCCTATCAATCATTCAATAGATCGAATCAAGGCTCGCTCGTCAGTGCACAACTTCAATAAACGCCATATGTAAGCATACATAATCTCGAAACCCGATTCCTTCGGCATGGCTCTCTTGTGCTAGTCACTGTATGTTGAGGGATCAGCCAGATCACCCCCCTCGCCTAGCTGCGCTAGTAGTGAGTAATCGTTGCTCAAACGAGGCACACTACAGGTCCGTTCATACTTCTATACTTCCTTGGCAGAACCGGGATAAATACAACCGCGAATCATTTCAGTCTAAGAGGCATGTGGCATCAGTATTAAATACCCGTTTCTTTATTTTAATACTATCAGGAAATGCTGGTCTAACCCGCTATCTCGTCTAGATTTTACTTGTGAAGGGAAGGTCTTGTGTAGACTCATTGTCGAATGCCCTGTATAATGGACCTTGACAGGCCGATACTCCCGTCCCATGGGAATAGATTATAGCAGTCACCGAGATGCTTGCGTTACGGTTTCAACGGCTTCTTTGCCCGTGCTCAACGTAGGCGATCATTTCGGCGTCTTTCACGGCCTGAATAATAGGTTGCTCTACTTTCAGTCTCGCAAATGTCTTCTCAGCCTCCCAAACCCAAGGTGAGGGGCTAGCGAATAAAAGATCCATCTCCTCTAGGGTCCGTTGATTCGTCTCTGGATAGAGGGCCCAAACAATAGGTATCGATATAACGTTGGCAATGCCGAAGATATGCAGTGTAGTTGCGCCAATTCCTACAGCCAGTTAGGCGCCACTAATTTCCTTCGTAATAGCGATAGGTCTAACTTACTTTCAAAGAGAACCGGGCAGAGCAGCGTCAGCCATCCATTCCCTATACTCCAGCCGACTACACCCCATGCATTGCCCTGGGAGCGCACGTGGAGTGGGAAGATTTCGGCCGGGTACAACCATGGGACAGTGAGCCAAGTCGCTCCAAATATAGAGGTAAAAATGAACACAAATGAGGCTGCTGCAGCCCCGTACGAATTGGCCTTGCCAACATCACCATTTGCGGCAGCATTTTCGCCGAGCTGGGAGAACGCTCCAGCCAGAAACATCTAGTATAGGATATTGTTATTAAATATTTCTCATAGGCAAGGGGTTTGGGGAGGATGACGATGGGACTTGATGTTATATAGCCGGACGCCTAGATGGACACCACTTACTGCTATACCCTGGCCAGCGGCCCCCCACCAAAGAGTCCAGCGGCGTCCGATCCGGTCCAAAGTGAAGACACAAATAAGGGTAGCAAACGCGTAGAAAATGTTGTTAAGCCCGCTTATCCATTGGCTCTTCTCGGAGCCGAAGCCAGCAACACGGAAGATGGTGGGTGCATAAACGGTGACGCCGGCAATGCCAACCCACTCTTGCAAAATCTGCAACCATATGACAAGCTGAACTCGTCGCGCCGTGTGTAGGTTCCCTGAGCCAATCCCAAAGAACATATGTAGATAAGAGGTATTATGCGACTCTTGAGTCTCCTTGGTGATAACATTCCGGATTTCGAGGTACTCTATGTTGGCTCGGACCAGGTCCTCACCCGTGGAGCCACGAAGTCGACGAAGAATGTATTGGGCTTCCTCGTCTCGGCCGGCTTTTACAAGATAACGGGGCGACTCGGGAAAGAACCATACGGACCCAAGAAGCACGAGGAGTGGTATAATCTTCCAACATCGCAATGTCAGCACAAGGCCGCTTGTAGTACAAGCTAGACCCAGATGTGTCAGGGTCGAAATAAATAAAAAAGTATAAGGTTGGGGAAATTGTTGTCTGCGGCTTAGTACAATATGCCTTACCTGAAACGCAATGGGGAACCGCCATCGAAATGCAGAATTTCCATTGTCAACTTTGAGATCGAAATATCAGCTTCTTGAATACCCCCCATCTGTCCCAAACTTGGAAACTCAAAGCTGGCTAAAATAGGAAGATACTGCTTCATATCACTTACTAAACGACAGTCCAAACTCCAGCCAGTATGCTACTACAACTCCAAAAATATTCAGGGTAAACTCGATAGCGATGAATTGGCCTCTCGAGGTATGCTCGGCTGTCTCCGTAGCCCTAGAAGTAGTCAAATTAGATGAACTGTACCTGAGGTACCAAAGGCCCTGGTTCGCTCACCAGACAGGAACAATGGCATTTAGGATACCGGTTCCGATTCCGTTGACAGCTCGGGCTAAGTCTCATTCAGTCGTCAGCCCCGTAATCATACCTGGAAACCCTCACCTCCAATCATCCAGTTGCTATTCTGGGCTGCCGATTGTAGAGAAGCCCCAAAGACTGCCCATGCAGCGCCAACAGCAATAGTCTTGATTCTGCCAATCTTGTCACCAATCAGGCCGCCCAGTAGACAACCGAACAACGTCCCTAGGTAATAGACGGAAATGATGCCACCCTGAAGTAGGCTGTTAGTAATGACAGGATCTCCCGTCTTTTCGTCCACATAACCAAAGCCCATGAGGTCGATATAGTTCTTCGCATTGTTAACACCGCCCATAACACCTAGATTGCGCTCTTATTAGCCGCTGCCTCATCATATTCGAAAGGGAGCGCAAGCGAAGTGAAACACCTTGGTCATAACCGAAAAAGAATATAGATAGGGCAGCGACCGAGTTTATGGCCGTCAAAAGCGCCCGCTTTTCGAAGATATTAGCCACGTTGAGGCCTGGTAAGCGATCCATATTAACCAACTCTCCACGGCTCGCTTCCCTTTGTAAACGGTTCCTTCGTAAACGTTGTGCCCTTCTGACCTGGCTATAGGTCGACGAGATGGGTTTATATTGATGGAAATTGGTCAATCGCTATCCACAGTGCTATGACCTTGACAATCTCAGCATGCCCTCCCTGTTCTAGAACTATGGCGCACTCGATCACACAACGACGAAGCGGCTGATGTTGTGAACCCTTATAGAGAGAGGAGAGTAGGAAAACCAGGCCTCCCCTCACCGGGATACCGAAAGGGGGAACTCGAACTCATGTTCACTAGTGCATGTCTCTAGCCGCCCGTGTCAGGATAGAGAGAATTTACTCCACCTCGCTCCAGAATACTCAGTATGCTTGAACAGGGAACAATGAGCAGATCTATGATTCCCCGATGTGGGGATGATATGACCATCTCTGTCGATAGTGGAGGCGGCTCGGGTTATTAAAATGCGGGATAGCCGCCATGCCGGGTAGAAGGAATATTGATAATAAAACCTCAATAGACTGTTGATAAACGCTAGGTTAAGGCGATTATATAAATGATAATTGATTGGGTTAAAATTAGGTGAAGGTTGAAATAAAACATAACATAACTAGATTTGACAAAAAGGATCGAATGGGAATTGAACCCATGACCATTCGAACTGCAGTCGAATGCTCTACCACTGAGCTACCAATCCCATCTCTGGCTACACGGTAAGGTTAACAGTGGCTATCTCTTTAGGTGCCAACTTAGCTGCAAAATGCCAAGCCATTAAATGCAAGGGTATTTAACTAATTAGATTTTTAAAAAATTAAATCCCTTTTATTACACTTATTTTTTAATATAATAAATATATATATATAGTTAAAAGTTTTTTATATTATATAATAATAATAATAAAAAACTTAATATTAATATTAAATAAATTAATATAAAAAATAAAATAAAAAAACTTAAAAAAAGTTTAAAAAAAAAACTTTTTAAGTTAATTTTATTTAAATAAGTTAATTATATATTTTATAATTTTAAAAGCTTTAATTAATTATATAACTTATATTTTTTTTTTTTTACTTTTTTTTTTTAATAAAAGTTTTAACCTAGTTATAAACCTAGCTATTTAAGCTTTAAAGTATAAAGATTTACTTTATTATAGCTTTTTTATTTTAAAAGTATATAATAATATTAAACTAGTTAATAAATGCGCTTAATATTAAAATAATATACGCGTTATATATATATATATATATAAATATAATTTAAATTACCTTTAAAAGCTTTTTTAAATATATATAAATATTTTAATACTTAGTTAAATAATTTTAAAAATTTAATTTTACAAAGTAAATATAAAAAATAATATATAAATAAAAATAACTATTATATAATTTATTTTTATTATTTTAATAATATTAATATTATTTTTAAAGTTAATAATTTAAGCTATTTTTTTTAATTATTAATTTTAAAATAAGTTTACTTTAAAAAATATTTTTTATTTTTTATTTTATTATTATTATTATTATAATATATTATATTAACGCATTTTTTATATAAGTAAATTATTTACTTAAGTGGTATAATAAGGCTAGCGGTTTTTATAAGTGCTAAGCACTTATATAATAGTTAACTTAAGCTATTATAACCCGTGCGCACTTATTATACTATTAAATTATAAGTTTTTAAGTATAATATTATTATATTCGCTATATATATTATATTTACTATATTTAATAATTTGCTTAATTATTATTTAAATAATTATTTTTTACCTTTAATTTTAATTATATAATATATATTTATACTTTATATAAAATAAATATAAAACTAGTATATTTATTATACTAGCTATTATAAGCTATAATATACGCTTATTACGTAAATATTTTATAAGCTTTTTATTATAGCCTAGCCTTAAAATTATTAAATTTAATATAGCTTTTTAAATAAGGTTAATTTTATTAGCCTTGCTTATATATACACTTTTATTTTTTAAGCGCGCGTTTAATTAATTATTAAAGCATTTTTTTTAATAATTATAATTTATTTTTATTTTTATATTATAGCTTGCTTAACGCGTTAATTAAATATTTAATAAGCTTATTAATAAATAATAAATATATAAAAAGCTTATTTTAAATAGTTTAACTACTTATAACATGCTTATGTTTTTTATTATATAAAGCTTTTTATAAAGCGCTTATAGCTTTAACTTTTTAACTATAAAGCACTCGCGGTAATATATAATAAGCTTGTTTTAAGCGTTTAATAATTAATAAGCTTATTTTAAACACTTGATTTTATTATTACTTTATAACATGCTTGCGGCTTTAACTTTTTAATTATAAAACATTTATAATATTATATAATAAGCTTGTTTTTTAAGTAATAAGTAAAGTTATTATAATATTTAATAGTTATAATTAAATATTTTTTTATTATATTAACTATTAAAATATTTAATAGCTTTAATTTTATTAATAATAAATAATAAGCTTTTTTTTTTTTTTATAAACTTTTTTTATAGTTATTATTATAGGTTTTTATAAAAATAAAGCTATTAAATAACTTATAACACGCTTAGTTTTTTATTACGTAAAGCTTTTATAATATTTAATAGCTATAATAAATTATTTAATAATATATATATATATATAATTTTATTAGCTTTTAAAAAATACTTAAGTTTTTTACTTAAGTAAAGCTTTTATAATATTTAGCAGCTATAATAAAATATTTAATAATATATAATCTTGCTAGCTTTTAAAAAATGCTTGCAGCGCTAGCTTTTTAAATATAAAGCGCTTGCGGTAGCTTTTTAGCTATAAGCTTTGCCTTTTTTAATAAGCCTAGGGTTAATATTTGCTTTAAAGCGCTTAATATTTTTACGTAATAAGTTTTTTAGCTTATTATTAGCGCTAGCGCTATCGCTTTTACTTTAATTATTAAAACTATTAAGCTTATTAATATTTTTTAGTTTATAAAGCTAATAAATATTAAAATATTTTTTAGTTATAACTTTTTTATTTAATTATAAACGTGTTATAATTAATATAATAGCTTTTTAATATATAATAATAATTATATTTTAATATTTTAAAATATTTTCGGTAATTTTTTTATTATAGCTCGCTTTAAAAATAATAATTTAATTTAAGTAAATATAATATAAAGCTTTTATTAAATTAATAATAAGCTTAAATATATTAATTTTTAAGCTTTAGCTATAAACTTTAATAACTTTAGCTAGTTATTTATTATTTTATTTAGTAAAATTAATTATTTGCTTTTTATTTATAGCAGCATTAATAAACGCTTTATATTTAACTTAATATTTAAACTTAAAAATTTTTTAATTATATTTTAAAGCTTTTTTATATTATTATATTATTAATTAAGCTTTTAATTAACCTTTATATATATTATTTAATAATTAAAATATATTATTTTTTATATTTATTTAATAAGCTTAATATATTTTATTTAATAACTATTATAGCGTTTAAATTTTAAGTCGTAAAGTTATTAAGTTATTAATAACTAGCTTTTTTTAGCTTAAATAAAGTTTAAAAAAGTAGCTATTATAAAGTCGGTAAAAAAAAAAAAGGCTTAATAAATAAGTCGTAATTATTAGCGCGCTTAGTTTTATAAGCTATAAAGCTTATTTATTGCTAAGCTTTATATAATTTTATAAGCTTTAATTATAAGTTATTAAAATAAGTTTTTTTTTTTATAAAAAAAAGTCGTTAAAAAAGTTAATTTAAGTTATTTTTAATATTAAGCCTTTTAATATAATTAAAAAGCTCGAAGTTAATAAAATATAAAAAGGTAAAACTTTTAATTATTAAATTATAAGTTTTTAAATACGATATTATTATATTTACTATATATATTATATTTATTATATTTAATAATTTATTTAATTATTATTTAAGTGATTATTTTTTACTTTTAATTTTAATTATATAATATATAATTTATACCTTATATAAAATAAATATAAAACTAGTATATTTACTACATTAGTTATTATAAGCTATAATATACGCTTATTATATAAATATTTTATAAGCTTTTTATTATAGCCTAGCCTTAAAATCATTAAATTTAATATATATAGGCTATATAAAAGGCTATTAGCCGCAGGCTAACTTATTTACCTACTTTACCTTATTTTATACCTCACTTATATAAACCTTAATATACTTTTAGTTATATATAGTTAATTTAGCCTTATATATAGTTATTTTAGCCATGTAAGCCTTACTAGTTATTTTTATTATTGTTTTTATTGTTGTTGTTTTAGTTGTTTTTTATTAGTTGGCTTTATTTCTTAACGTAATAAACTACTTTAAATTTTTATATAAAATTTTTATATTAAAACTTTAATAACTTTACTAATTTTATAGCTATTAACAGGGTGTCTTAATTTTAAGTGAATAATTTAGTCACTTAGTGACTAATTTAGTCACTAACTAAATTAATCACTTAAAAAGGCTTTTTTGACTAAATTAGTCACTTAAAAAAAAAAGCTGAGTGACTAAGAGTGACTAATTTAGTTATTAGTCTGACTAAAATGACTAAAATAATAGGTAATAAATAAGAAAAAGGCTAGTAAAAATCAGTAAAA